TTTTTTTTTTTTTTTTTTTTTTTTTTTTACTTTTGCATGTGAATGTTTTCGTAGCAGCCTCACTGGAAGCTAAAAGCAGTATCCCAACTCTTTCTTTTGCAACCTTGGAAATGTGTCGCAGCATGAAATGTGAAAGCAGGAGATGTCTTGATCTATGTAACGCAAATGCCATAAAAAAGAAAAGAAAAAAAAACGTTGCCTAATCACGTAGCTGCAATAACAGAAATATAAATTATGGATTTAACTTGGTTACAGCTTGGTCAGTGAATCTTTAGTTACGCATTTATAGCTTGTAGTCTTTACACTGTTTCCTAACTGAATTAAACAAGATGTACCTATTCAGAAAGTATGAAATGGGTATGGAGGAAAATGTTACATTTCCAAAGGGAATAAGGTCAATATCTCCTTTTTTTTTATTTAAGCTACTTCATGAAATGTGTTTGTTTTGTTTTTTTTATTTCCATGAGAAAATATTACGTCTGTATCATATTCCTCTAATTTATGGCGTATTTTATTGCTAAAATGTATCCTCTGACTTCACATTCCCTTCTCCAGCATGACAATATATTGGATCTGAAAACTATACATTAATTGTCATGACCTACATTTAGATGGCTTTTGTTTATTTCATATTGCAGTTAAAGTTCCTCTTTTACAAAATCCCTGAGTACTTATAAAATAGCCTTTCTCTACCCATAGAGAAGTTTGTATAATTAAACCACAGGCTGAAACCTCAGGATTCAGGAGAAATCAAAGTATTCAAAAATGACAGTCTTTCAAAACCCAGCTCTTGATTTTACACATAATGGGGAATAAAAAACAGTTTCAATCAATTTTAATATTCTGCTGCAACCAAATACAAGAGTTTGCTTCTTTTTTTTTTATTTTGTCTGGATTAGAACATTTTATCTAAGCACATGTGCATTTTATATGATTTAATTTAAGAAGGCACAACTTTTTCCTCATTCTTTTTATTTATACATAAAAGTCTAATAAAATAACATTTATATGTCTCGGTATATGTGAAGAGACTTGAGATATGAAGTGTTACAAACACAGAAATTGTAAGAAAATATCTTGTTTGAATTTTTTTCTTTGTCACGTTTATATTTGATGCATATTGTCCCCTCTAAAGCCTACTGAAATCTATCCTTTATTTTTCAAAGGATGCCTAAATTTTATTTTTATGCCAATTTGAAGGGTAAACTAGGGCAGAGGATTAGGGCCACTGAAAAAAGAAAAAAA